ACCCACCCCCGAGTTTCATTTTTTAACTAAAGTCTTCTGAACGGTGCATGGCCTAGTCCCTGGCTGACTGGAGAGTCCACAGGTACACTGAATTTTGAGGTCTAGTGCCTTCCCCTTTGGGCTGTGTCTACTCTATACTCTTTACAGGCTGAATGTGAATGGGCCTTGCTCGTGATCCTAGAAGATTCTTTGAGTACTTTCCATTTGCAGCAAACTACGTTTGACTCTTCAGACTCCAGCCTTACTTTTTCTCTTTGACTTCTGGCTTGAGTGACAGTTACAAATTAGTTCTTGAACTTCTTCAAAATCCCAAGAACAAAGTAGAAAAGCAACTTATAGTTACAAAAGAAACACAAGGCCTAAAAAGATACAGTATGTGAATGGCTTTTAATTCTATGTGAGAAAGGAATGCTGTATTTAGTGAGATACTTGCAACTGCCTGTGTCTGCTTTGCTTCTGTAACCAGAACAGACACCCCCCAGGCAGAAAAGAAATTCTCCCAGCTTCACTTTGGCTCCATCGTCATTACTGCTTTCCCCTGTGTCTGAGATCTTGCACAGCTGTCCATCTACTAATGTGCTCTAAATGCTGCTGAAAACCAGGTGGTCAGAAAATGCTTCTGCTCTCAGAGTCTCAGGCAAGGCTTTGCTTTCAGATTGAAATAGAATGTGAAAGAGACAACTTAAAGCATTACTATTTCTCTATATTTGATTTTTAAATAACATGTACCTTGTTAGCATGTACACATTCACCTATTTGTGTACAGCATGAGTTACCTCAATTCTGAAATCTTTCTTTTAAGCCCATTCTGTCAACTCAAGAACTGTCATTAAGGAATTCAAGGAGGAGTGCATATTTATTTAAATTCAATCACAAGCTCATGATTATTATGTCTGTGATTTTTGGATTCCAGCTGAGTGCCATGGTGCTTGTTCCACTTGGTGGCTGAAAAGATAATCTGAGTTTGTTTTTCAGGCTCCCCATGTGATCGCACCCCCCCAACATGTGCTATATAAAAGACAGAATGTTATATTTTCTTTCCTCATGATAACATAATATATTTTATTTTAGGACAGATTGCAAAGCAAAAACTTAAGGGAGGTGATCAATTTTGATCATTGCTGTTTCATTCTATTGAAAGGAGAACATTGGTTTGAAAATATATAGTTTTAAATCTTTCTAAGGTTTTTTTTTAACTTTTTTTTTCTTTCTAAGGTTTTATTATAACATTGAGGATTTGACCTGTACTCATGGTAGGTGAGCAAAGAGCACAGATAGAGATTTATGCAAGGTCAAAGAGCAGCTAAAAGCACAATCAACTAAGAATCATAGATGTGGAAAATTTCTTTGAGGTCAGCTAATCAAGACCCTTTATTTTTTTTAAAGGAGGAAACTGAAGACTGCAGATGCTCTGTGATGGCCAAGGTCATACAGCAAGTTAATAGCAGAGCCAGAATTGTCCCTGAGGTCTCATGACATCGTCCCCAGGCCCTTTCCACCCGAACCACTGATTAAAACTGACTGTCTGGCTTGTGAGATGTCTGCAGATCTGTGTTGCTCTTGAAATTTAATGCAGCATAAGCCATGCACAAAATTCCCACTTTAAAAGGTCATCTGTGGCTTTTTAGAAAAATAGATATGTGTTCCATCATTTTGTCTGGTAGAATTATTACCCTGACCCAACCAGCATTAGAATAAAATTATAAGACTTGAATTGACTTTTAAGCAGCCCAGTTTGAACTTTCCATATGTATCGACTGGTCAGAATTGAAGATTTTCATTTTAGTCAGGTTATCTCTCCTCAGTGGGATTTGTATTTAGGCAAATCCCATTTTGAATTACTATGGGTTATCTAAGGGAGAGCAACAATTAGTCACCATTCTATTGAAATGGAATTTAATGTTTTCTTGTAAACACTTTTAATTCAGATAGACTTTGTTCAATATGCCTACTTTGGTGAATAGAAATATATTGTAGGGCCAAGGATGAAATTCCATTTTAAATGCATAAGAATCTAGGAGACAGAAATCAGTTTTCAAGTGGTTTGGTTCAGCTGTGAACAGATTGCCACAAGTTTTATTCTTAGCAGAAGTTAAACTTTAAAACTTTTATAAACATTACTGCTTTTTATACCAGTTGATATTTTATTGCAAGATTTGAAGAATATTACCTGTCTGAAATCCTTTATCAGTTTGGTAAACTTTCCTTAATTTTTTTTTTTTGGCCTTTTTCAATATTGGAGAAATGGACTCAATTACATAATAGCTGTGAGTTATTTCTAGCTTTTGTGATCAAAAGTGACAGATTGAAATAGAAGTGATAGAAATAAATACTCAATTGAATTCTGAACCACTATATTTTCATCTAGTCTGACATCATCCCCTCTTTTATTGCTTTTCATTTATTATATACATACCTATCTGTGAAAGTGAGCATTCTAAATTATCCTAAATAAAATTTAAGTACGTTTATATTTTAAACTTATGACATGAGCTTATATACTAGGATTGGTATTAAAAAACAAGTATTTCTAAAAATTAAAAAAAAATTGTCATAAAAACCTATGGGGGAATGAGATAAGAAAAGATAAGAGATTACTCTTTTTGTATTGTCAACTGATATGTATTAATATTAAAAAGTAGAGATATAAAGATGTGTTTGTAAAATTGCTATGCCATCTTTTAGTTTCAATTTAATATTTAAATTTCAGAAGCAAATCAAGTTTTTCATCTTTTTCTCTGCAGACATAATATGGTAAATGAGAGGAAGTCACCAGCAAGAAATTCTGATCAAACTTAAGGATTTTTGAGAAGTTTTTTTTTTTTTTTTTTTTTAAATAGCCGGAGCTCAAAATAGTAGAATCAAAATATAGGTAAAATCTCTATTTCCAAAATTAAAAAGTTAAGAGGAGATGTAAATTTCTTCCTACTCACTTTAAGAGGGAGGCTAATTGAATTAATTCTTATGTATATTTTTGATTACCTGATTTTTTTTCCTCCCTACAAATACCTTAAAAGGGTGGGAGGCAACTCTAACAACAACAACAAAACAAGCCTTGCTATGTAACTGAATTTAATATATTGTTTTGCTGGTATAAGTCTATACATATAAGCTTTAAAATCTTTAGCTAGTATGTTAAAATCGTACTACTCAATCAAAATTACATATGGATATTTATGGCAACACCTGAAAGCATTCACGTTGTTAGCATTTCAAATTGTTTTAGTTTCACAACACTGCTAACATGTACTATTTAAAGTTACTAAAGTTTAAATTCGATCATCTACAACTGAATTGAGATTGTCAAATTTAAAGTTATTTTTTATGAACTACATATTCTTTCTATCTAAACCACAAAACAAAACAAATAAATTAGTATTTGAGAACTTCCAGTGTAACTTTTAATTTAATGAAGGTATAATAATAAAGGGCAGACAAACTGAGGTGTATTATTAAGATTGAAGGAAAGGAATGTATTGGGTTTACTTGCAAAGCATTGCGTCAACAAAAAGAATGATTGGCTAATAGAATTTGTTCTTGGAGCTCCTAGTGTGACACAAATGGATCAGTGCTTTGCTTCTAATGGAAAGGTCCTTAGTTTTAACCTTTGTGGAGATTTCTCAGAAGAAACGTTTGAAAATCTAAATCTGAAATTTCACAGCTACTTGAAACACAAATGGAGTGCACTTGTTCTCTGAAACACATGAAATGCCTGTGTCAGAGTGGATTCATGTCACCTGGTGATAACTTTTCCATGGAAATGTCATAATTATTCCTAGGTAGTCCCCAGGTTATAAAAGATCAGTTTAGAGCCCCTCAGCAAGGTTGAATTATCTAAATACAATGAGTGGTTAGTAAGACTTCCTTCAAGTTTGATCCGCATTGGTTTTCATGTAGCAAAGCTTTTTTGATTAGCTGTTCAGTGTGCAGATGAAATGCTTTTGTTAGATGCTATCAAGTGACTTATTTTTTAATTATTTTATTTTTTTATTATTAAA